CCATGGTATCAATCAATGTCTTCAGGAAGAAGCTGTAATGGAAGCTCTTTAGAGGTCTCATCCTCCTCCGTTGTCTTTGTCTCACACACTCAGTAAGCAGCGTGAGTCAATGTGGAGTTTAAGTCGAGCTTTCCTTCATTCTCTTAGTTCTGTATCTTACCTCTCCCCCTTCTTCAGCCTCTCACATTACTATAATAAGGAATAAAGGCTGGATGCCCAAATGTGAGATAAGACTCAGCGGGATCCTCATGTTCACTTACGCAACAAGGAGCAAAAAATCAAATGGATTCTCCATGTCATTTACATCCCAGCTGGGCCTCAGTGGTGCATGTTGCTGCCTCTAGCTCAGTGTGTGGAAAACAGTAAATAAGCAGATAAAAGGGCAATGATAGCCTTTTACAACTGCCATCTATTTCAATCAGAAATGCAGTGCAATGGATTCTGGGTCATAAAGCGTGATGCCCCCGCCTGGCCCAATTTGTCCTGTAAGTCCAGTGTGATGATTTAATTAATACATGACACAGGAGCAGCAGTGCAGTCGCTGCGCAAACTCACGGATGGGGAGGAAAAAAGCGTGCATACGGGACAAATCAAAGTATTTGATTACGTTTGTGCATAAACCCTATACATTCAATTGATTAGCAACAGCATGTGCAACAGACTGAAAGAACCAATGATATCACAGAGAATGTGTAGCAAAGTAGCACTCTGGGCCTTATATCTATACAAGGGATTCTGATTGTTATTTCACGGTCAGGTTGTTTGACTTTGAGCCTATATGAGCGCACAGTGGGAGCACATAGACAGAGTACGTCCCACTTCTCAGAGGCTTCACCTTTGTAACAGTAACAATACATTATTGTCAGAACACTTCATTACAAGTAACATTCAAAATGTAATTGAAAAGTAAAAGTCATCATTTTGAAGAAAAAATTACTTTTAACGTGTATATAATTATATATGTGACATTTCTAGATAATATTGTTGCATCAAGTCGTACTGTTGACAAAAGAAGTTCTGATTGACTTTTTGTAAAATATAAAAAATAATTTGACTCTTGTGAGTAATTATAGTTAGATTATTTGAGATATTCTGTTTGAAGTAGCTAAAGCTGTTTAATAAAAGTAATGGAGTATAATTACATAATTTCCCTTTTACATTACATTACATTTAGCTGATGCTTTTATCCAAAGCGACTTACAATAAGTGCGTTCGACCAACAAGATACAACCTTGAAGAAAACAGAATCATATAAGTACATCAGGTTTCATAGAGCCAAACATTTCAAGTGCTACTCAACTGGCTTTAGATAAGCCAGTCCTTTATTAGTATATAAGCGCTTTGTTAATATATGTTGTTGTTATATGTATGGAGCAGAAGTACAAAGTAACACTGAATGGAGAAAAAAAATCCCCAACAGGGATTTGAATGTGGCATGCATTATATTATCTGTGTTTTATCTTTCAAAACATGGACATCTGTTGGACACACACACACACACACACACACACACACACACACACACACACACACACACACACACACACACACACACACACACACACACACACACACACACCACACACCACACACACACACACAGTGTGAGGTTCTCATCAGGTCATCAAAGACAAACTGAAGCATGTGAGCAGGGCAGGAGAGCGACTGGCTCCTGATGAAAAAAGAAAAATGCACGACTGAAGCCGGAGCCCACACACTTATCTCTGCATAGGAGCAAACACACGATCACAAACCGGCGGCATCTATCCGGAGAGCCACGTTATTGAGGGCACGGGTTCAAATCAATCTTTGTGCTGTGCGAGCTGCAAATGCACAATATCATCAGGTACAGAGGAAATGTGTGCATACTGCCATATCTCAAATCAGAAGGGAGGTGGTGGGAAGGAGAACTAAAGCAGAAGATAGAAGGACTGGTGCTGGCTACGGCGGGGTTTATCGGTAAAGGAAGCATTTTTGGCTGCTTTTCAAAATAAAGTAGGCTCTTTCTGCATCCCGCTCCTCCTGTAAGCCATTTCAATGGATTTCTGTCATAACTGCTCATGCATATCCTTTCTAACTGCTTACCCATTTATTTGGCAATATAACATCCTTTGGAGAAATATTGCATGGTTCTTATTGTTTGTATTGATCATTTAACCAGAGATCAATACAAACAATAAGAACCATGCAATATAGTATACTATAATGTCAGAAAACTATTTGTAAAATGCAAAATGCATATCTTTTATATTCCTGTAAATGTAAACATCATTTCGAACATTAAATCAAATATGATTTGGCCATGCCAATCATCTTAGACCACACTTTATGAGTTGCTCATGGATGGTAGTAGAGGGTCCATGGTGCTGGGGTCTATCTTTGGATAACCCTTGGAAAAACCACTTTTGTATTTTAAGTTTGGTTGTCCCATTCAGTGTTGCCAACTTGGCGATTTTCTCGTTAAATTTGGCGGATTTCCAAACCCTCCGGCGACTTATTTGTGTCAAAAGCGACTAACGACTAATCTAGCGATTTATAATGGTGTTATTAGCGACTTTTCTGGTGTTTGGAGACTCACATTGTTCTGCAGTTAACGAGCCGCGGGTGCTGCCGTGAGCCCCGCCTCCCTCCCATAGTACTCACAGGCGCTCAGACTGACAGTTGCCTGGCCGCAGCAGAGCTGCTGCTGCAGTCAGAGCAGAGAGGAGACAACCACACTCCCCCGCGTCGAGACTGCAAATGAATTGCGCATGCGCCAACTGCCAAGCCGTCCTGGTTTTGAGCGGGATTTAAATGTTGAATGTAAATGTTTCTTCACTCACTTTCACACTATAATAAATAACTGCCTTTGCTTTGCTTTGACTCACACAGCCTCAGTCACTCAATCACCTCGTCCACTGTGTGTGTGCCTCTCTGTGACAAGCTAAACATCTCTGTGACAAGTTAAACATCATGATGCTTTCCTGGAGAAGTCCAGAATTTGATCCTTGAAGGGTTGGGAACGTTTTTTGTACTCCCCTCTACCATGCTCTCTCCTACAGCCGCCATTACATGATATGCAAATTAGGCGATGACGTCATTTAGCGACTTTTGGCGACTTTCCGGACAGCCAATAGCTACTTTCCTTACTATGGAGTTGGCAACACTGGTCCCATTCCCCTGATTCAACAACGCAGATAATTCCTCCAGGGACTGATGATGAGCAAGCCACACCTAGTTTTCTGATATCAAATCTCTCTCAAGATGATATTCTGCACACAAATCCTTAATCACTCTGTGATGTGACACATAGCGGAAGCCACAGATTTAGTATTTGTTCACTTGGGTCTGCTCACTGGGCCTTTGACAGGACAAAGTGATTTGATCAACTCGAAGCAAATTAAGTCAGTTTGACATTATTTGTTAACCGTGACAAATAAATTGAGTTCCCTTTAGTTTAAAATACAACCTAAGAGTTCCTATTTATGAAATCAACACTTTCTGTTCCTGTAGAAACCATTTCAGATGTCTCTGAAACCAGCAGTCAAGGTTGTGTTATACCCATGAATGTAAGTCATTGCTAACGAGACGTGCTTTAGATTCTTCAGATTGTTTTTTGGATACTTCATATTCAGTTCATCAGTACTGAAGAAGCCTGTTCAATGAAAGGCAGAATGTTTTCAAAATGTATTCACGCGTCCAGTCGGATTGTTTTTTTACCGAGAAGGAGCAAAAGTCTTTGTTTTCCCGCCATTCCTTACACAGTGCTGATTAACACTTTATGTGTTCCAAGCAATCAGGGAAAGCAGCACAACATAGGTCGTTTTGTTATGGCAGATTCCTTATTACAGCGTGTTTCTCGCTTATTTATTAAGGTAACAGGTCAGAGAGGCTCCATTGCCTCTTCCGCAATTATCAGCAGATGTACCTATGTTAAGTAAATTGGCTAAGGTCAGAGGAAGCCCAAGGGAGGTCTTCCTCAGATATAATACAGTTAAAGTCTTGTTAGTTAGTGGTTCATATCCAGCATGCATTAGCTACGAAACGATAAGGATGTTCGTGTGTTAGTTAATGTAAAGAAAATTATATGTGTTCATGTGCAAAAGTATAGTTTGTTAATTTGATAATTAATATCCTGCAAGACTCCTAAAGACATCATGAGATGATGACCTTTCGACATCTGGAACATGCATGTTGCTCTGATGTTGGTGTGTCCATTTGGAGAACATGATGTTCGTGTGCTAGTTAAACATGGTTAGGGAACATGTTCGTGTGTCATTTAGAAAACCTATATCTGCCCTCTGTTTCTTGTATTCGTGGGGGCATTTCCGCGATTGGCTGCTGTGGCAGAAGGTCAATGTTTCCCTATTATTATTTGTTGTTGCGCAACTGAATAATAATTAATCTCAACCACATGTGTGTTTGTGTTTTATTGATCTCTCTCTCTGTGTTAACATTTGAAGTTGGTGAGCCATTAATTGCACTAACAGTTTATTCAAGGATTCCTTTAATTTAAAAAACGTTTACTTGGTGTTGAAATAGTAAAGTAATTTGGTAGGAGACAGTGTTGGACATACTGTATACACGGCCTGAGAGCAAAGGAATGGAGAGACAGACCCAGGGAGGGAGGGAGAGACTGGAGAGAGAGGGGAAGTATTAACTGGCTTAATGGTCCAAGTAAAAGCACACTTAGGTCATCGATGGCCTCTAATGAACTTGTATTCCTGCCAACTGAGAGAGATATAGCTGACACTGATCCCAGTCCAGCCACCACTCCACTGTACAGCCCGGGAGGACCTTATTGGCTGCAGGACTATGATCCTAATCTACAGGTTTTACAGCCAAACTCAGCTATCATCAAACCCAGAGGAGGAGGAGGAGGAGGAGGAGGAGGAGGAGGAGGAGGAGGAAGGTGTTTTGTCACAAAGATCAATGATAAACAGATGTTCAGGGGTCCAAATCCTACACACTTGCCTCTTCTTCATACTTTTATAAAAACACACGAGGGAGAATGTTCCTACCTGGAAGAAGACGGCCATGGCAGCGATGATCCTCTGCTCCCTCAGAGCTGCACTCATGCTGTCAAAGTCGTCTGAGTTGTACATGTACACCTGCATCTGTGAGAGAGGAGGAGGATCATGAGAAGAGAACCACATGCATGTATCAAGGAATACTGTACAAAGAATAATACTGCATACAGGGGCGGACTGGGGGGAAAAAGTGGCGCGGGGATTCATTGACAGACAGGCCCACTTAATGCGCGGCATGTATCGGCCGGCCGGCGACGAAAGTATGTTACTTAACAAAAAACCCTATGCATTTAATGTTATTTTGGACCATTATTCATATAGTAATCACATTACCTGAGCCCTTGAGTTGCGTAGAGCAAAATAGTTACGGCATATATTTAGTGATTTTAACAGATCATTGATGCAATAACATTTGGACCCAATTTGCCTGACTTGACGCATGGAATAAAAGATGGGCGTAGGAAGCATCCTCAATGTGGGTGAGACAATTTAACAGGGGGTGTGGGCAGGTGGTGGACCTCACCTCCTTTAGGGGGGTCCGGGGGCAAGCTCCCCCGGGAAGATTTTTTTTTAAATGTTGAAGTTAAATGCATCAATCTGGTCCATTTTGAGAGCAAAATTAGGGACTAAATCTATGGCAGTCAGTAGGGGCTTGGACTGTGAGCCGTAGGGTCGCCGGTTCAAGTCCCAGACCAGACCTATTTGGAGTGTGGACTTCTACTTGGAGAGGTCCCAGTTCACCTCCTGCCCTGCCGTGGTGCCCTTGAGCAAGGCACTGGACATCCCCCTTCACTCCCATTGCTCCGCGGGCGCTGTACAATAGCTGCCCACTGCTCCTAGTACTAGACTCCTGGTACTAGGATGGGTTAAAAGCAGAGAACACATTTCACTGTGTGTGCTGTGTAGTGCTGTAGCGACGCGTCGATGCGTCGACTTAAAAATATCGTCGACGACATATTTCCGCGTCGACGCGTCGCTACACACACGTGGGTCACCCAAAGCAACAAGCAGTTCGCAATCGCACTTCAAACACAATGGAGACTGAAACGGCTACCACCTCCTCCTCAGAGGATTGCGCACGAAGCCCCCAAACGAAAAACATCTCGCCCTAGGTCTTCAAAAGCATGGGAATATTTTAAAGTTAGTCCAAAACGCAAAGATATTTATATATTTATATCTCACTGAGACTGCTGCATAGCCTAGCAGAAGCAGCAGCTAGCTGTGGTGACTACCATTAGCAGCTAGCATTTGCTCTCCGATTTTTACATAAAATGGAATTATGGATTATAAATTCAATAATCTTTTTATACATAGACGTTAAAAACCTATGGATTAACCGATTCAGCGGCGTTTTTTCTCATTTTAATGCCATTGAACACGTCTTTTGATCAGATTGACAGCTACGGTGGTGAGACGATCTCCCTAGAAGCTCTGTGAAGGTACGTGTTGTGATGACTGTATTTGCTTCCCCTGTCGCGAGTCCGGATCACTCAGTGATGATGATACCTACATAATTTGTGGAGTCTCAGCTTTAATCGGATATATTGTATGTGCAGCTACGATAAGTAATAAGGGTACTTTTATCTTGAGATCTGTGCCAATGTCCGTTAGCATTTTTCGCTCAGGGGTCATTTAGATGCTTCTTATGAGACTTGTGTTTTGTTTTGGTAAACATGGTTTGTATCGTCAGTTAGCTGAGATTATTTCCGTTAATCTGGTATAACACATTAATAGGTTCTTAAATATTAAGATCCCCTGAGACCACAGTATCGTGAAAAACAAATGTGTTACATTACGTTTTTTTTACATTACGTTTTTATGAATTGAACAACAGAAAAATAATCGTTAGATTAGTCGACTAATCGATCAAATAATCGCCCGATTAATCGTTTTCAAAATAATCGTTTCCCCCCAGCACTAGTGCTGTGTGCTCTGCATGTGTGACCATTAAAGAGGGTTTCTGTTTCTTCTTCTTCTTCTTCTTCTTCTTCTTCTTCTTCTTCTTCTTCTTCTTCTTCTTCTTCTTCTTCTTCTTCTTCTTCTTCTTCTTCTTCAACACCCATATAAAACAGAACTGTAAACAGATTAACTTTTCCTTTCAACATGTATTTGAACAGCAAGTGGAGGCAAAAGTGACTGCACCCAAAACAATAAACCTGCTAGCTAACTAGCCTAAACTCAGTAACAGAATGTGGGCAACACGTTCTTCTCCACAGCCACGCGACCTCTGAGTCAGACATCACTTCCCCCTTTTATATCCTGGGGGTACAGCCGTACAGCCACTCCCCCTGAACCCCGTTTCCCTGCCAACCCCCCCCCCATCCCATCGCTACAATACTGTATACTATACACAAACTATACAAAAACGCCTTTACACTTTGGAGCTTGTTTATCCATCTGTAAGCAACTGCCAGCTAGGTCTCACTCACTCCTGATCGTTCACTGCGCAGTGACAGATGCTACGGGCCTGATGTGTGAAAGTGAAACTGATAGATAGAACAAAGGTAGCCTATCAAAACGGCCTGGGCTGGGCTGGGCCGGAACACTTACAAATGTGGGCCAGTAGGACTTAGGCAGGATTTATTTTTTTTGGCCCTCCGGCCCACACACAGCACCGGCCCACCGGGGAAACTCCCGGTATTCCCAATGGCCAGTCCACCCCTGACTGCATATATGACTAAACAGTTAAACATGTGTGGAGTGTTAAATACAATGAAGTACTGAAGCCAATTACATCGTTACGACACAATACTAAACATTTACCACATTTCAGCAATTGGCAATCTATATAAATCCTGTAATCTAACAATGACTGGCATTGTTTGTTTTGAATCCGTGTATGTTTCAACCCTCCCTGCAGGTTTGTGGCACCATCATGAGAAGAGGCCCAGTTTTATACGTGTTCTGCGTTTACAACACTACAGAACACGGTGTTATTCACTTCCTGCCCAATTTGAATGATTCAAAAATTGACAAGTATGTCAAATTCATTTTCAATAATTGTTCTGCGTCAATCTCACTGCTGCACTACCTGCAGCATGTCAACGGCAACCAGACTCCCCCGCAGGCTGAGCTAGCTGCTCCCTGTCAGCCCTATGCTAACTGGGATAGAGATACAATTATACTATATTAAACTTTTTAAATGTTATCAGACCACATTGACCAAATTCAGATAGTGACAGGAAACATGTTGTGGGATTCAAAGCATATTTACCATGTGTAACTTCAGCACCTGGGCAGGCAGCAGCACAACCTATTGATGGATAGTTGTGCGCTCTCATTTGAAACTAATGAGCGTGCCCAACAGCAGGACACGTGGCAGGATGGCTGTTCGATTCTCTCTAAGCAATGTGGGCTAAACAAGGTAACATGGAATAAACAGCTCTGGGTTTCATAGGATTTATCTTTGCGTAATTGCAGGAATTAAGAAAACCTGAAACTCTTGATCTTTTTGCCGTGATGCAGGAAAAAAGGCGTGGGTCAGTTATTTCGGAAAAAATATTTTCCTTTTTCCTTCCCTTTTGTCATATAACTAAAATGTGTCAGTCTTTTTTTAACATTATTGTTTTTTGTTCTAGTAGGGAACATTTCTATAAAGGCAATTCATTCAATTTCAAATAGTCATTGAATGTATATAACTTTCTTAAACAGCTGGACAATGTTTTTTATAATTAATATGAATAATCTATGTATTTGAAAGGGTTTATTATAGCGGTGTGAAGTCACTGATTACATTAGTTTTTGATATATCACAATATGTTCCTAATACATTTTTGTCCCACACTGTAAAATATTACCATGATTTCACAATATTTAGCTGAAATATTTTACAATAAATTACTGTTTTACCACTTTACAGTCTTTACCTGTAATGTTCACAATATACAGTAATACTGTCATTTTGAATTTCACAGTGAAATCAATGCAGGCACAGTTAATTACTGTGAATGTACAGTAGTGCTGTAGCGACGCGTCGACGTCGTCGACGCGTCGACTTCAAAATATCGTCGACGACATATTTCCGCGTCGACGCGTCGCCACCATAGACTGTATGACGCCACACACACGTGGGTCACCCAAAGCAACAAGCAGTTCGCAATCGCACTTCTAACACAATGGAGACTGAAACGGCTACCAACTCCTCCTCACAGGATTGCGCACGAAGCCCTCAAACGAAAACATCTCGCCCCAGGTCTTCAAAAGCATGGGAATATTTTAAAGTTAGTCCAAAACGCAAAGATATTTATATATTTATATCTCACTGAGACTGCTGCTTGACCGGAAGCAGCAGCTAGCTGTGGTGGCAACCATTAGCAGCTAGCATTTGCTCTCCGATTTAAAATGGAATTATGGATTATAAATTCAATAATCTTTTTATACATAGACGTTAAAAACCTATGGATTAACCGATTCAGACGCGTTTTTTCTCATTTTAATGCCATTGAACACGTATTTTGATCAGATTGACAGCTACGGCGGTGAGACGATCTCCCTAGAAGCTCTGTGAAGGTACGTGTTGTGATGACTGTATTTGCTTCCCCTGTCGCGAGTCCGGATCACTCAGTGATGATACTATATACCTACATAATCTGTGGAGTCTCAGCTTTAATCGGATATATTGTATGTGCAGCTACGATAAGTAATAAGGGTACTTTTATCTTGAGTTCTGTGCCAATGTCCGTTAGCATTTTTCGCTCAGGGGTCATTTAGATGCTTCTTATGAGACTTGTGTTTTGTTTTGGTAAACATGGTTTGTATCGTCAGTTAGCTGAGATTATTTCCGTTAATCTGGTATAACACATTAATAGGTTCTTAAATATTAAGATCCCCTGAGACACAGTATCGTGAAAACAAATTTGTTTACATTACGTTTTTTTTACATTACGTTTTTTATGAATTGAACAACAGAAAAATAATCGTTCGATTAGTCGACTAATCGATCAAATAATCGCCCGATTAATCGTTTTCAAAATAATCGTTTCCCCCCCAGCACTAATGTACAGGATCAATGATGAACAGGATTTCACAACATATTACTGTATTATTTCACAGTACAATACTGTATTCAGACCATCCTCTGTGATAAC